GCTGTCGACTTCTCTGTGGGTAAATAGGTGTTGATTAAACACATTGATTTGGGAAGACCCAGGCCACTATGGGCAGTACCATTCCCTAGTAGGAGAGCCTAAACTATTACAGGTGAAGAAATCAAGCTGAGAGAAAGCATGTGAAAATCGAGGACATGATTCTGCTCTTGATTGTGGATATGATGTGCCTAGCCATTTGCAATTCCTGACTTGTTGTCCCCTTAATGATAGGCTGTCACTTGGAATTACAATGTATATTACAAAGTATATGTAAGTCTAACATACCCTTGGTCTCCTAAGTTGAAGTTGTTGGGCTGTTTTTATCACAGCAACAAAGATGAAACTAAGACAGCCCCTCTTTCTCCCTTTCAGAGTGGACACAGTTGCTCAGCTTCTTTGTAGGTGGGAAATGCATGACTTGGTGCTTTAGTTTTATAAGGATTCACAGTTAAGAGATGGCCTTGGTTCCCAGAATAGACTTTAGACTTTGCACGGTGTTGCATCTACTAAAGTGAACTGGAAAATTTTGGCTTGTGCCATAGCTGTGGGCTTTGGGGCTTAGGGACAGTGTGCAATTGTTTATCTGAAAGTATCCCAAGAGTGTCATGCATTGGATCAGTTGATTCCCAGCTGATGACTCTGGATTTGGAAATTTTATAATGTTGGGAAGGTCATGCCTACCTGGAAAAAGAGGATATCTGGAGGAAAATTATTAAGTTTTATAGCCTGGACCACCAGTTTCTTACCTGTGTTTTCTGTCTCCTGTTCCAACAAGATATAAAAAGGTGAGAAGTCCAAGCCTCGAGCTCCTGCCTCGATGGAGTTATGTATCTCCCCACCTTCCCTTCCACAATGTCTGTATCTCTTTTGATAGTGGTGTTTAATTGTCAGTTTGACACAATCTATACTCACCTAGAAAAATGGTCTCCATGGTGAACTGTCTGAATTTGGTTGTGGGCATATCTATGAGTGAAGGTCTTAATGAAATTCATTGATGTGGAAAGACCCAGCTAATTGCCTAGGCAGGGAGTCCGGCACTGTGTAAGAGTGGAGAAATCAAGATGAGCACCAATGCAAGGAAGTGAGCATGTGTACATTTGTTTCTCTCTTACTTTCACTGTGCATGTGATGTGACCAGCTGTTTGAAATTCCTGCCTTGACTTCTCCACAATAATGGGACTGTAGCCTGGAATTCTAAACTAAAAGAAATCCCTTTATCCCATTTTTTTGGGGGGGAAGGAGGGTGGTTTTTGTTTAGGGTGTTTTATCACAGCAACAGGAATGAAGCTCAAACAGTTTTCAAATCATGAACTGAAATAATTTTGCTTCCCTTAAGTTGCTTTTATCAGATTTTCTGATAAAGAGGAACAAGAAATGTGGCTAATATTCATACTTAGTTCGCATGCACTTCTTTGTGATGAGAAGTCAGTCTGATCTTTTGGCAATTTGTAAGCATACAACACAATACAACACATGTTGACAATGGATGGTCCCACTGTGATGTTCTGTAAGTCTCTAGAACCTATTCTCTTGTTGATAATGGATGGTCCCACTGTGATGTTCTGTAAGTCTCTAGAACCTATTCTCTCTGCTAACTGACATTATTTGCCTTTGGTCAACCATGCCTTGTTCCAATGCCCAACCAATGGTTACTACGGTCTTCCTACCTTTTATTTCTGTGAGCATAGCTCTCCTCAGCTCACCTACTTATATGCTCACTCTTAGTGTCCCTGGGCTTCATTTGCTTTTCTTAACATAATACCCTCTGGATTATGTTGTGTGTTGATGCAAATGCCATGCTTCCTTCACTCTTTGTTTAAGTATTCCCTTATCTATGGACAGTTTTCCTTCCTTTTTTCTTCCTTTTCTTTTTCTTTCTTCCTTTCTTTTTTCTTTCTATTTTTTGTTATTGTTGATTTGTGACAAGGTTTCTCTGTGTCATATAACTGGCTGTCCTGGAACTCACTCTGTAGACCAGGCTGGCCTCAAACTGACAGAGATCTGCCTCCCTCTGCTCTGCTGGGATTAAAAGCATGCACCACCACCACCTGGCTTGGACTGTTTCCTTTACTCACTAATTTGAGTGCTCTGTTGAGAACAATGCTACAAGTTCAATGGAGGAAGAACTCCCTTTGACATAAAAATTCTGTTTCCTTTGAGTGTAAACTGTGAGGTTGTTGCATGCACTTAGTTTTAGTCTTGACTTCTGAGGGGCCTCTGCTCTTCCCTGTGACTATGACAATTTACTTTCCCACCAACAGAGTACAGAGGTGACCTCTGCCTCCTCCCTTCCCTGTGCTTAGGATCTTTTTTCTTTTTCTTTTTATAATTGGCACTCTCACAGACATCAAGTGTCTCTCACAGTGGGTTGAATTTGATTGTCTAAGTGGAGTTGAGCATCTTTTATGTTCCCACTGTCATTTGTGTGTCTTCTTTTTAAGAATATCTGCTCAAATCCTTTGCCCCTTTGCTAGGCCTGTCATTTGTTCTCTTGTTAATTGAGTTGATTGAACACTCCCCAGTTGGTGGTGCTGTCTTTGGAGGGTGACACTTTGGGAGGTATATGTCTTACATGAGGATGAAGGGCTTATAAATGTGTGGCTTGATTTTTTTCCCTTCCAGTCTCTAGATTGTGTCTATTGCCATTGGTTGTTTCCTTGGGATCCTATAGATGCTTTTAGTTTGCTATATTTCTGTTTGTGAACCCAAAGCTGTGTCATTACCCAATTGCTATGTAGAAGTGTGAGAAGTGACTTTTACTTAGAGACTGACTATGGTGTAAGGAGTGGTGAATCAGTACCTAGATGACAAAAGAGTAATGACTGATTGGGGTTTTTGCTCCCCTACAACATGACATACATGCCAGTCAGTGCAGTAGCCTGTATAAACTGCCTCACACAAAATCCACAGCCCAGGAGGCTTAAACTAGACATTTGTGGATGACAGCTCCAGAGGCTGCACAGTCCAAGATCAAGAACTCCAATACCTCATAAGGCCTCTTTTATAGACACAAAGGCAAACAAGGCTAGAGGAAAAGCTGCAAGTAAAAGTGGAAATTCTCAAATGCAAACAACATAGTAAACACACAGTAAACACCAATAGTTAAGTAGGAGTTAGGGAATCAGGAAGGGCCTTGACCCAAAGGAAATTAAAACACAACACAGCAACACTCGGTAAGTAGCAAAATCGGCACTCAGAGAGAAATTCTAAACACAGGTCAGTGATATTGGGTCTTGTTCAATGTTTTTGTAATTTTTATTGTTGTTACTTTTAACTTCCTTGCTGAGGTGTATTTTGAGTGACTGTGAATGAAAAAATCTTGTTTGTCTGAGTAAGTTCAGTATGGATAAACAATACTCCTCACCTCCCCCTCGATTTTTTGATTCAAGGTTTTTCTGTGTAGCCTTGGAGCCTGTCTTGAAACTCACTCTGTAGACCAGGCTGGCCTCGAACTCACAGAGATCCACCTGCCTCTGCCTCCCCAGTGCTGGGATTAAAGATGTGTGCCACCATCATTACAATACACAGGCCAGTTGCTTAGAGTCTTCAATGAGCAGCATGTCACAAGCAGATGACAGGCAGCGGAGGCAGCTCTCCTTGTGATTTGAAGGAAATGGAAGAGAGAACCCCAGATCCTAAAATCCCTTTAAGAACACACCCCTAAAGCCTAGACTTCCTTCCATTGAGCTATACCTGGTAAAATCCCACCACCCCACAATAGTCTCATGAGCTAGACCCTTTTCCTGGTGTTAGGAGACTATTTGCCACAGGTGCTCTCTGCTTAGCAGGTGCTACTACTTGGCCCCGACCTTCATGGCAAAAAACTTCAACAACAGAAGTTACTTTTCACAACCAAGTGGAAGACTGAGTGAAGGAGCTGACAGAGAAGGAATTCCTCAACTTCTTTCCATGACTTGCAGAAGACTTACTTCTTGTCTCTTGTCTTCTGTATGGAAGCTGTCTCTGGGGGTCTGTGACCTCCCTCTCTTGTGAGACTCTCAGGGGGATTGGATTAGGCACAGCCCAGTAGCCCCATTTCCAATGAATTATTTCATTAGAGGTGCTGTCTCTACAGTGACCCAAAGGCTGTGGTCTTTGGAGTTTGGCACATAAAGCTCAGGGAGATACACTTTAGTACTGAGGACAGGAGATCCTATGAAATAGTTATTCTTGGACAATTTCCCCCCCTAAACTCTCACATCTGAAAGGAAACCTCTAAGAGGCTTGTGTTCTGAGCCACCTTCACAATTCAGGAGATGAAACCTTTGTCCAAAGGACACTGGTCTACGTCAGTCAGCACCTTGACCTCCTGGGAGAAGACAGCCATCCCCGTAGAGACATTACACATTATCAGGGCTCTAGCAAGTCCTCTTGTCTGCATCTCTGATCTCACCATTACCCTGTCCTTAGCCAGTGTGTATGTCCCCACACTTCTATATGTTTTACTGAGTCACCAGCTCATATGTTCCAACTCCATGTTCAAGCTACTGAACCAAAACACAGCAATATCTGTTTATCTATCTTTACCTATACAT